CAGTGCCTGTGCTTACCATAAGCAATTGATGTGGTGAATGTGGTGAGATTGCTCCTGGAGGCGTAGCAACCATGGAAGAGCCTAAGCCTCACTATATAGATTAGAGCAAAGGACTGGAAGTAGGGGAGTCCTACTTCCTGCCACGTTCCTGCTAAGCATCCTTGTTAACATTACTTGACCCCTCTTTGATACAATTTTCTCTTCTGTTATATATCTATCTCAAAATAACATAGAAAATTTAGAGCAGTTCTTAGCTAAAAACAAGCATATTTATGTTTGTTATCATTAATTTTAGGATATGGTACTCTAATCAAAAAAAGCATTAAGAATTTAATACTATGTCAAGAAAAATCAGACTTGTACTGATATGGGATTTTACCTGCTAATGAGAATATTTTCCAGCACTAAATTTTAATTAGAATTTGAACAGTGTAAATTTATGGTATGAAATAGGTTCTTCTCAAGAGTCTTAAGTAAACAGAAAGGACGTTAATCATTTCTTAACAAACGCTGCTAATCTACTAAACAAATGTTACTTTATATTTGAGCCAAGGTCATCAGTAATACAAGGTCTACTGCTTTCATTTCATCTTTTGATTGGAATATAATGACTTCGTAGTTGTTTGTGTTACATGCTGAAGAAAGGAGAAGTCAGAGACACCATGATTACAAGAAAAAGGAAAGAGGTAGGAAGTGGCCCTGGAAGGAGAAGGAGAGAAGGAATGAGAATTCTTCTTTATTGAGAATATCTATGTAATTACTTCCAGTTGCTAAATCTTAGGTTTAGTCTTTCAGTCATACCAATGAGGTGCAAGCCTCATCCAGTATAAGGGCCTCTTCATTTTTGTCAGTTTGACAACCCCAAAAAATCCTTTGGAAAATAACATCTAAAGGTATAAAGTGAAATTCATAATATTACAACTCTTTCCAAATGCAGATGTCAAAATACTACTTTAAACTTTTATGATGTACTAATATATAGACGACTTCAAAGTAAATGAAATATAAGCTGATTAATCTGAAAACTGCCATGATTTCACAGCAGTGATGGACATAAATGGTATTTACTCTACGTAATGTAATGTGGAAGAATTTGATTGTCAAATACCTGTAATGTGTGCAATATATATGCAAAGGAAAATGAATGTGATTTACATTATCAAGTCTGTCACAGATATAACCAAAACTGTTATTTTTTACTCAGTATTTTTATTGTAGCAGGAAATGATGTGTTTCAGCTAGACATCATTGAAAAATAAAGATATATTTTTTTTTCATTCAAACCTGTGTATTCTCTAAATTTTATCTGTGCAGTTTTTAGAGGCCCAGAGATCATGGGTTAAAAATGTCTGCCTCGGGAAAGAATATGCTTCACGCGTGAAGCCATGCATAGAAAAATGTTAGGAAGCATGCATAGCCTACAAAATCCAATGTGTATATGATTCCTAGTGCTGTCCAACGGTAACAGTAGCTGTTACTTTGTACTGGTATTTGGACTCAAAATAGAACAAGCATTTACCAAAATCACATCCTGTTCTTGAGAACAAGAAGGAGAGTTGCATCATCAGCCTTCTACGCAGTCTATTTGCTATCAGCCACACTACCCATTATCTGCGTCATCCTCATTACCATCATCATCCTCACATGTCCGTGATTCCTGAGGAGCATCACTGTCTTGTGCAATGACGGCACATAACCTCAGAATGAAAGACTGGACTTTGTGTTAAGAAATCATGTAATCATCAAAAAATATCCCTAACTAGAATCACGGAAAGAAACACACTATCTGCTTATTTCCTTGGGATCCTAACATCAGAAGGGACAGGCAGAAGGGTCTCTGTGATTTTCAAGAACAGCCTTGTCCACATAGGACATTCTAGGACAGCCTATATTACACAATGAGACACTGCCTTAAAAATTTTTCTTTGAACTAATGTGTGTTATTAACTAAAAATATGCCCCATAACTCAATGATAGGATATGGTAATATACATATTAGTCCGCATTTTTTGAGAGAAATACATACAGTGCTAGTGGATCCAAGATCTTTGTTGTATTTATTGTTAGGCAGTAGCATACTTTAAAGATAACTCAAAGGGATAAATGATGAAGAAGTGTTGGCCTACATTATAAAATCTATTTTATTGTGTTCTTATACCTCAACCTCCCTTCCAATCCTTATTTCACAGTAATCCCTTCCATCCTCCCAACACTAGGAAGGAGAGAAAGAGAATTAGAGAGGAAAGGGGGAGTCGTCTACAGGCTATTCCCTGATGATTTGGGATATAGAATTCCTTGAGGCAAGTCCAATCTTTGTCCTCAGAATCTGCAGCCATTCAGCAAACAGCAATCCAGCAATAGCAAACACAGCAAAATGACCTAGCAGGGGAGCAGCAGCTGCCATGGGCCCTCTCAGGCCTCTCTCATTTATACCCTCTCAAGAGTTCCCAGAACTAAACTATCTGCAGCTGGCACAAACCAGGCCCCTGCCAGAGCACGAGACACTGTATAGTCAGCTGCTCTGGACAATCTGAACCCGCCCCATAACCCACACCTGTGATTAAAACAAAAACAGTTTTTTTCTTTATTATTATTATCATTATTAATTCGTTTTGTATACCAGTTTAGCCCCCTCCCTTTTGTTCCCCTATCTACTTCCCTAGTCCACTGATAAGGGAGGTCCTTTCTCCCTACTGTCTGACCCTGGCCTATCAGGTCCCATCAGGACTGCCTGCATCCTCTTCCTCTGTGGACTGGCAAGGTAACTCCTCCAAGGAGAAGTGATCAAGGAGCAGTCAATGAGTTCATGTCAGAGACTGTCTCTGGCCAGATAGTTTCAGCTCAGAATTCTACCAGATCTTCAAAGAGCTAATTCCAAAACTCTTCAAACTATTTCACAAAATAGAAAAAGAGGAAACATTACCAAACTCATTCTATGAGGCCACAGTCACCTTAATACCTAAACCACACAAAGACCCAACAACAACAAAAAAAGTCAGACTAGTCTCTCCTATGAATATTGACTCAAAGATATTTAAAAAAAAATACTCCCAAACTGAGTCCAAGAACACATCAAAGATATCATCCACCATAACCAAGTAGGCTTCAACCCAGACATGCAGTGGTGGTTCAGTATATGGAAATCCATCAATGTAATCCACCACATAAACAAACAGAAAGAAAAAAAAAAACTCATGGTCATCCCCTTAGATGCTGAAAAAGTATTTGACAAAATCCAATACCTGTTCATGTTTAAAGTTTCAGAGAGATAAGGGATACAAGGTACATACCTAAACATAATAAAGGCAACATACAGCAAGCCTATAGCCAACATCAAAGTAAACAGAGAGAAATTTAAATCAATTTGACTGAAATCAGGGACAAGGCAAGGCTGCCCACTCTCTCCATATCTCTTCAACATAGTACTTGAAATCATAGCTGGAGCAATAAGACAACTAAAGGAGATCAAGGGGATAGAAATCGGAAAGGAAGAAGTCAAATTATCACTATTTGCAGATGATATGATAGTATACATGAGCGACCCCAAAAATTCAACCAGAGAACTCCTTCAGCTGATAAACACCTTCAACGAAGTAGCTACATACAAAATAACTGGCTTTTGAAAGAAACAAAAAAATCTCACTACTAAGAAGTCTATGCTGTTAAACTCTGTGTACATAAGAAACTTAGTTAGCAAATTATTTCTGCAACAAATTGCCGTCAGATTAATTCATTATTATAGCTTTTTCACTTATCAGCTGATCCTTCTCCCCCACCACTCCTTGTGATAATTATTCAAGTGAATGCTTACATACTATTAAATTAATGAACTATTTTTAGAAAATGTTTTGTTCTCAGCAAAACAAGTGGGGAAGTGGGAATCACTGCTCCTGGAGAGCACAGCCTCGCCTCTTTATTGTTGACAGCTGTGATATATGGCTGCCAGCACTGAGCATCTTGCATAAATTTTACAAGTTTTGTGACAGGTTAGAAAGAGCATTGTCCATCTTAAAGCGAAACAGGGAACAGCTGATTCTTGTGAAAAACAGCTGGTATCAGGGATTCACAAAGGTCTGCCTACAGTCACCGATATTGTTGAAGACACTTGCTTTATTGTATATTCACTGTGTGAAAAGATGGGTTTTACTTTGATAGTTTCATAGATCCCATTAGATTTTTTGATTATTTTCATGACTCCTTATATTGGAAAGGTTTTATGTAATCTGCTGAGGGTGGTCTTAATTGAGAAGTGTAAAGACTATTCTTGTTTAATCTGATGTCAAATCTTTGCAGAAATGAATTACTAAATAGGTTTCTGATTAATATTATAAAATAATTAATAAATTTATTAAAATATGTTTAGAAGTTGGATGCAGTAGTTGATGTTTGTAATCCCAGAACTCAGGAAGTTTAGACAGGTTGAGAATTCAAGCCAAAATAAGCCAAAAAATGAGATTCTATATCAATAAAATGAAATGCATCAAAAAAATAACAAATACATGGAATAGCAAAAATGTCAAATCAATATTGAAGTGTTATTATTGATATCAAAGACATCAACAAAGAAATATTGGGAAAAAATAAATGCTGGGGAACTTCTATATCTCTATCAACCTATCTATCTGCTATCTATCTATCTATCTATCTATCTATCTATCTATCTATCTCTGTATATAACATCTATATATCTATATCTATGGTGATAAGGAAAAAAAAAGTAAAATCAGTGAATCCTGGTTAATCTTGCCTGTATTCAGCACATTCAGGAAACTGAGCCACTTTACTCTCTCCCTGTACTTCTCTTCCCATCATGCTTCTGTCTCTCTCTCTCTCTCTCTCTCTCTCTCTCTCTCTCTCCATCTCTCTCCTTTCTTTCACCTAGACCCATAATTTACATATTTTCCTTCTCTCTCATACTCTTTCACATTCTGTTTCTATTAGCTTTCAGCAAGCTAACATAGCACTTATTTCCTGAGTGGGGTCCATAATGAGTTTGTGTTCTAAGAAAAGCCAACAGTCAGCACTGTGGATAAACTGCTAGCACAGAAGTACACAGCAGAATCTGTGGGCTTACTGGACTGGATCTCTATAAAACATGGTTTGTCAGTGGGGCATTTGGCTGAAATGTTTTTGTCAAACATATCTGTTTTTTCTAGAATTTCTTCATTCTGAAAGTAAACCAAAAACTTTAGCTCTTCTCCCAGCTTCTTGTAATACCAGTAAACATAGCTATGCCCTTTTATGCGGCTGCAATCCATTCTGGCTTTCTGTTCTTTTCCTTTGACCAGATGTCTAGGATTCTGAATGACCCCTGTGTCCACGGCGCCTGTGGAGGAAGGAAATAAAGCTGAAGATAAGTCCAAATGTGAGTCGATTGACAGAGATGTAAGAGAATCTGTTGATACTGGAATATAAGCCACTAAAAACAGGGACTTACTTGCAGTCCAGAATAAAAGGGCCACACAGAAGAGAAGTGTGGAGTGCATGGTTGACCCAGAGGAAACCCCGACTGACTGTCTTAAGGTTTCTGCACCACCCTTAGGCAATCTGCTCATGGCATAATCACTCTCATGGACTGCACAGTTGCTAGACACATGAGGCAGAAACATTCTACAGGATGTGGGAGGGGATGTTGAAGCTGAGTCCTCGATGATGTGAGATTTGGCTTGCTTTTATTTATCTTCCCCTATGACTTAATATTTTCCTTGTTTTCAATTAATTTTCTTATGTATTATTTATTTATTTATGTGATTTTTAAACTTAATTTGCTTTTTACACTTTATCGTAGTAAACGACTCTAAGTAGTTTCTGGATATGCACTATAGTTCTTGCCACATGCATAATACCACAGAGAAGCTACTTTAGAGATTTAAATACTGAAATTTACAAAATTATTTAGACAAATATGTGATGCAGTTGGAACACTGATAAAACAAATGGCCTTGACTGAACCAGTAAGCTGAAGGGCTGGGTCATGTCCTGAGTTTTGAGTCTTTACTCTTCTTAGAATTCACCATATTCAGTTAATGTGCAGAAAGCTAACTTGCTGACATTTACACTTGTCATTTATTTTTCATTGTAGTTCTTAATATTTATATATGAATATTGAATTATTTCATGCAATCTTGTATGTCACTTAAATTTATCTAAGAAGAGTTAACCTATTAATATTATCTAGGATGTTATCTTGCATTCAGACTCATGTGAATATGTACAATTGTAGACAATTCATTCCCATTCATACTTCGCATTCCATTATACTCAGTTCCTGGAGTTCATTACCCATTCTTCATGCTTTTACCACAGTAGTTTTTGTGCTGCTCCAAACAATATTCTATGTATCTTGTACACTTGTCTGGACTGCACACATGGCAAGGTTTGCTCTGACCTTGGGAATATCCAAACAGCCACATTAACTTTACACAACAGAACAAAATCATTTTTGAAATGATAAAGCCAAACAACTCTACCAATAGTTTATGAGTATTTTTAGTGAGCCACATCCATGGCTGTAACTGATGTTCAGCATTTCTCGAATTTTGTCTATTAAACTAAAACTGTGCCTTATGGCAAAATATAATTTTAATTTATATTTACTTATTACAAAGAGAATATTCATGGACTTCTTTTATGACCCCAAAATGGTCCTTTGGCAACATTAGTTTTTGTTTGATTAGCTATTGTTTACCCATTATTATCTTTGTATCACCTGAATACTAATCGCTTTTGACTGTCTGTCTCACTATTCTTTCCAACTAGTAATGTGTATGTATGCTTATCTTCTTGTGTATTTGTTCCCGGTAGTTTTGAATTTTGTATGTTGTCACTATTTTAAATATTTTTTTTATTTTTGAGATTATGATATAATTGCATCATTTCTTCACACCTTTTTCTCTTTCCAAACTTTCCCATATACCCCTCGCTGACCCTTTGTTATTTGATGTATATTCCTGGGGTGTCTCTATTTGTATATGCTTAAGAAATGTTTCCCTTTAAACTGTTTGCTACTGTGTGCTGAGACTGTTGTCTGTGTAAATAAAACTGATCTTTTATGTTCATGTTATATCCAGTAAACCTATGATGTTAGTTGCTAGCAGCACAATGCTTCTATGGGTGTCTTTTGTGTTTCTCTAAACTTCATCTCCCTGTAATTACCTTCCTTTTCCTCCTTCCTATGGTCACAGTTCTTCTTGTTCCACTAACTGCAAAATCAGAAAATGTTTAATAAAAGTTGATGTTGATCATTTAGTTATTGATCATGCATTTAACCAGAACAAATTAATTTCAGGTTTCGCATTTATGGTGGATATTCTGGGGATTGAAAAATCTAATATTTTATTCAACTGTCTTCCCAGATATCTCAACTTATTCGTTTAAACCAACTCACCTGGAGCATCCAAGCAGTCTGAGGTTTTGTGTCTTCTCTGTAAGGGGCACAGAATAGTCTTCAGAAAATCCCACACTGCCCCCTGGTGTCTGAAGCACAAATTCATCCATATGTGCTCATTTTATTGATCCTGTGTTAGGGGTAGTACCTAGTTCCACAGAAGGCATTCTAAGTTGCATAGAGAAATTGCAAAGGAGACGGTACTTAGTGTGGTGATCTTTGTGTAGTACATATAACTGACTAGCAATCAGTTACCCAGCCAGACAGTCCTTAATTTAACATTGACAGATACTTTATTACTTATTTGCTTTCTCAAACTTTCTCTAGGCGGGGTATATGCGCAGATACATGCTCTAATTCTCTGCTCTCTTTGCATATGGTATACACTGTCTACAGAGGCCTAATGCACATTCATTTTTGCAGCTTTGTTAAATGTCCCAAATATGTGCCTCTCCTACTAGCCCCTCTCTGGACCTTGATGTTTACACTGGAATGATTTCAGCAGAACTCCCTGAATCTTAACATAAATCCAGCTCTTTTCCCCATGACCCTCCTAATCCACATGGCTACAATGGTGATATCCTAAACATCTTTAACACCCCACCTCTTTTTTTTTTATATTTTCATCAACACTATCATCCTCTGAGTCAGCTTCATTGCTAACCCCTTTCTGATCAGTAATTAGGACAATTTATTTCCAGGACAACACTTTTTCCCGTATTTCTCCTATTTTCTCCTAGTTTTTCTCTTATATCTTCTTAAAAGGAAAATAAGACATACATCTACAATATCAAGCACTTCAGATATTCCAGGGTTACCTGCAATAAATTAATCACTTTAATTTTTTAGAAGAATCTTAACAGAATTTTAAAATGAAACAAGAGTAGTAGATAAAATACATTAACTATTCGTGAATATTTGGAATTGACATTAGTCAATCAAATAAGAATGCTTCCCCAAATCCAGTTGGGGTAGTAGCTATCTTTATAGATTGTGAAGTGGCTAATCAAATGAGAACTCTTAGACACCTGGGGTAGCTATACTATATCAACTGGGTGAAAACTCCATAAACGAATACCACAGAATATTCCTGTTGGCATTGAACTGAAAAATGCGAACTAACTTCATATGCATCCAGGAGGTATTATATAAGAAATGGAACCTCCTCACTCAGGGAGGCAGAAGTAGGCTGATCTCTCTGATTTCAAGGCTACCTTCATCTACAAAGTGAGTCTAGGACAGCCAAGGCTACACAGAGAAAGCCTGTCTTGAAAATGACAACAACAACAAAAATAAAAACAAAATCCTCTTCTCCATTAATGGAACATGTTATTAACTCTATTTCTATGAGCCTCTTTCAGAAAAGAGAAGAACAAACATTCAAATTGTGTCATGGTCAATGCTATTGCCATATTTCCCAAAAGCAATGCATGTGAGCAGCAGACTATCTCCAATACTCAGCTGGAGTGTGCGGCAGGCCCGAATAGAGTGGCTGTCTGTCGTAATGGACTTAAATATCCTTCATCTCACTGTGTAGAAGGGAAATAAATGATTCCAGGCAGTAGACTTGTTACCATATTTTCACCATATTTCAGACTTAAAATTTCCTTTGTTTTCATCTCATTAGTATTTATTTTTTAAATTTTATTTTATTAATTACAGTTTATTTACTTTGTATCCAAGATGTAGCTGTAGCCCCCTCCCCCATCCCTTCCCAATTCCACCCACCCTCCCTCTTTTTCTCCTATGCTCCTCCCCTAGTCCACTGATAGGGAAGGTCCTCCTCCCCTTCCATCTGACCCTAGTCTATCAAGTCTCATCAGGACTGACTTCACCATCTTCCTCTGTGAACTGGTAAGGCTTCTCTCCCCTCAGGTGGAGGTGATCAAAGAGCCATCCCATGAGTTCATGTCAGAGACAGTCCCTTTTCCTATTACTGAGAAACCCTCTTGAACACTGAGCTGCCATGGGCTTCATCTGTGCAGGGGTTTTAGGTAATATCCATGCATGTCCCTTGTTTGGAGTATCAGTCTCACAAAAGACCCTTGGGCCCAGATATTTTGGTTCTGTTGTTTTCCTTGTGGAGCTCCTGTCTCCTACAGGTTTTTTTTTTTCTCCCCCTTTTTTCATAAGATTCCCTGCACTCTTCCCAAAGTTTGGCTATGAGTCTCAGCATCTGCTTTGATATACTGCAGGGTAGAGTCTTTCAGAGGTCCTCTGTGATAGGTTCCTGTCCTGTTCCTTGTTTTCTCCCTCTTCTGATATCCAGCTCATTTGCCTTTCTGAGTGAGGATTGAGCATCTTACCCAGGGTCCTCCTTCTTGCTCAGCTTCTTTCGGTGTGCAGATTTTAGTATGTTTATCCTATATTATATGTCTAATATCCAACTATAAGTGAGTATATACCATGTGTGTCTTTCTGCTCCTGGGATACCTCACTCAGGATGATCTTTTCTAGATCCCACTGTTTGCCTGGAAATTTCATGATTTCCTTGTTTTGAATTGCTGAGTAGTATTCCATTGTGCAAATGTACCACAATTTCTGTATCCATTCCTCAATTGAGGGACATCTGGGTTGTTTCCAGATTCTGGCTATTACAAATAAAGCTGCTACAAACATGGTTGAGCAAATGTTCTTCTTGTTTACTTGAGCATATTTTGGATATATGCCTAGAGTGGTATAGCTTGGTAGCATTATTCCTAATTGTCTGAGAAAGTGCCAGATTGATTTCCAAAGTTGTACAAATTTACCTTACCACCAGCAATGGAGTAGGGTTCCTCTTTCTACACATCCTCTCCAGCATGTGTTGTCACTTGAGTTTTTGATCTTAGCCATTCTATGGTTGTAAGGTGAAATCAGCATCTTCAACAAATGGTGCTGGTCTTAGTGGATGTCTACATGTAGAAAAATGCAATCTTATCACCCTGCCCAAAATTAAAATCCAAGTGGATCAAAGACCTCAAAAGAAAAATGGACACACTAAACCTGTTAGAAGAAAAAGTGGGAAGAGCCTTAAACTCATCATCACAGGAGCTGCCTGGAAGAGGTTTAGACCAGAAAGGACACTCTCCAACCTATTGATCTGCCTACAGACTGTGC